ACTGGAACCATGGCCTCAGCACCGTAGGTTAGCGAAAACGGGGTCTCTCCAGTCGAGTTCTGAGAAGTTGTACGATATGCCCAAAGAACGTAGGGCAACTCCGCGGGCCAGGCCCCTTTGGCTGCATCGAGTCGAGTTTTTAGTCCGTTCTTGATAATCTTGTTTACGGCTTCAACTTGTCCGTTAGCTTGGGGATGATATGGTGAAGAAAAGAAATGCTTGATGTCATAATCTTCACAAAATGTGTCAAACCTTTTGCCTTCAAATTATCGACCGTTGTCGGTTATTATAGAATTCGGAACTCCAAAGTGGCAAATTATGGATTTCCAGAAGAAATCAATCATCTTTTGTTCCGTTATGGCAGCCAGAGGTTCAGCTTCTACCTATTTGTTAAAGTAGTCAACGACGACAATAGCAAATTTCACGTTTCCTTTCCCAGTTGGTAATGGGCCGATGAGGTCGATTCCCCATTTTGCGAAAAGCCATGGACTGTAGACGGACTTGAGGGGCTCGGGATGTTGATTGACGTTGGGAGCCAATATTTGGCATTTGTGACAATTTCCCATTCAGCGGCATCTGACCTCAAGGTCGGCCAGTAATATCCCTGACGTAGTATCTTGTATGCCAAGGCTTGCGCTCCCTGATGATATGTGCATACACCTTCATGAACCTATTCTAGTATACGTAAGGGAGTTGAAAATCCTTGTTTGTATAGGACTCCGTTGTTTATGGTGAACTGGGCTGCACGAACGCGAAGGGCTCGAGCTTCTCTTGGATTGTCTGGTAAGGTCCCGGTTTGCAGGTAGGTGATTATGGGGTCCATCCACGTCGAATTTCCAATGAAGAGACGACGTCGATCATCAAGACGTCGGTGATAGTGATTGATGGTTAGATCTGCTAGCTCACTTGCACAAACTCAACGTTGTCCAAGTCAGTGGAAGACGCCAACCGAGATAAGGCATCGGCTTGGATGTTCAACGCGCGCGGAATGTGCTCCAATAGAGATTTGACATTGAGCAACTTCTTCTTGACTAACTCTAGGTAAGGGTCAGCCGAGGTTCTTTGACTTCAAATGTTCCATTAATCTGATTCACGAGCAACTGGGAGTTAGAGAATATTTGGAGTGATGGGATGTTCATAGATTCAGCAAACTGTAGTCCCGATATCAAAGCTTCATACTCTGCCTCATTATTGGTGATAGGAAAGTTAAAAGTGACCGAGTAGCAAAATGATTGATTGTTGGGGTCGACCAAAATGATGCCTCCATTTGTCCTTGTGGAAGTAGATGACCCGTCGACATATAAAGTCCATAATTGATCCTCAGGCATTGCTTCGATTGCTGGAGTGAATTTGGCAATGAAGTCGGATAGCACTTGGGCCTTTATCGCAGTTCTTGGTTTGTATTGAATATCCAACTGTCTGAGTTCTATGGCCCACTTAATCAGCCTGCCTGAGGTATCTGGCCGGTGGAGGACTTGTCATAGAGGATAGGAGGTCAGCACGGTAATGGAATGTTGAAGAAAGTATGGGCGCAGTTTCCGAGCAGCGACGATTAAAGCGAATACTAATTTTTCCATGTGTGGGTATCGTATCTCAACATCATGCAACGCTTTGCTCAGTAATAGATAGGAAATTGTTAAAGTCCTTCTTGTCATATTAGCACTGCACTGACGACTACATTACTGACTCCTAGGTATAAGTACAACGGTTCATCAGAAACTGGTTTTTGAAGAGTCGGGGGCTGAGATAAGGTTTCCTTAATGCGGTTAATGGCGTTCTGACATGCGTCAGTCCATTCAAACTGCTTATTCTTCTTTATGGCGTCAAAGAACGGCTTGCAGTGATCAGTGGATTTAGAGATGAACTTGTTCAGAGCTGCTAAGTGGCCAGGTAATGCTTGAACATCTTTAACCGAGGTGGGAGGAGTTAAATCGAGGATCACCTGGATTTTCGCAGGGTTAGCATCAATCCCTCCTCGTCTGACCATGTAACCTAGGAATTTTCCTGATTCGACTCCGAATGTACACTTCTTTGGGTTGAGCACCATAGCATAATCTCGGAGTATGTGAACATGTCGGTAAGATGGGTTACATGGTCAGTCGCCCGCTCTGACTTCACCAACATATCATCTAAGTATACATCCATAGTGTGTCCGATGAGGTCAACGAACATCTTGTTAACTAACCTCTGATAAATGGCCCCAGCATTCTTTAACCTGAAAATCATCATGACGTAACAGTATAGACCTCGAGCTGAGTAAAACGAAGTGTGCTCAGCGTCCTCAGGGTGCATAGGAATTTGATTGTAACCGGAATATGCGTCCATGAAGCTCATGAGTTCATGTCCAGATGTAGCATCCACCATGTAGTCAATATGAGGAATGGGATAACTATCTTTCGGTCAGGCTTTATTGAGATTTGAGAAGTCAGTACACAGACGCCATAAACCATTACTTTTCTTAACTAACACCGGATTTGATATCCACGTTGGGTACTTGGCTTCTTTGATAAACTTATTGTCGATAAGCTTCGTCACTTCTTCTTTTAGGGCTTTTTGAAGATCAGGGCTGAATTTTCGTCGCTTTTGGATGACGGGCTTAACAGTTTTGTCAAGGTTGAGCCGATGAAAGCTTTTGTGGCATCAATCCCTTTCGTATCTTCATGCTTCCAGGCAAACACGTCGGTATTGACTTGAAGAAACTGAATCAACTTGTGTACGCACTGGTTCTTGGAGATTAGCGCCAATGCGGAGAGACTTCGTACACGTCGGTCATCGACGAAAATGGTCTCTATGTCTTCAACGGGTTCCGCGTGCACGTTTTGAGTCTTTTCTTACCTGGACGCTGTCCTCGGTCCTCGACGAACTCGGTATATGATTCCGAGGTCATGGGGACGTCGGTTACATTGGAAAAATGACCAGGTTCTTCAGAATCGATCATCATGGGAGTTGATGCATCCATACGGTCTTGAGATTGAGGTCCAATAGTTTGGTCGAGCACAACCACGTAGGCATTACGACTAGTCAGGTCTAACGCCAGCTCTCAGGCTTCCCGTTGATCTCCATAATGAGTGCCTTCTTCTTCAATTGTAGGAAACTTCATAGCATAGTGGAAAAATGAAATCGCAGCACGAAGCTTGTAAAATGCAGTCCGTCCCACAAGAGCATTATACTCATTCTGAATATCCATAACTTTAAAGTCTCTATAATGATTTTAGACTTCGGCCCAAAACCTCCAAAATAAATGGGTAGTTGAATTTCACCGATTGGACATGCAATGCTCACATTGAATCCTTGAATTTTATCATTGCAGGGTCGTAAGTCGGCAGGATAGAGTCCCATCTTCTTGAAAGCGCGAAGCATAAGGATGCTAGGATAAGCCCCAGTGTCGACCATAATCCTATGAATGGGGATCCTTCGGATCGGGGCAGTGATGATAAGAGCATCGGAGTGCGGATGAGCAAACAAACTCGCATCCCCAATATTAAATATTATAGGACAATTTATGGCATTAATGGTACCTCGAAGATCAACATTCAATATGCATTTCCCGGCATTTTGGGCTTCTCGAACATGGGCTTTGAGTTGACGTCGGGAAATGTCAGGTTGTTTGAAATTCTTGTTGATCCGCGGTATAGAATCATGACCTGAAGACCTCAGTAATGAGCAGGTCTTTAATTTTTTTTTGTCGGTAGATGAGGTTCCGGATGTCTCTGATGAAAAGTGAATATCTCTTTGTCGGTCGTTCGAGCCTTTTTTATATTTACTCCTCGGTCGACGTTATCTTCATCATCTGAGGTATCAACTTGTCTCCCTTTTCGTTTAATGTCGGTACTCCTAAACTTTTGGAGTTGCGGTTTCTCGATCAGTCGGAGAAGAGCAGACAATAAGCCGAGACATTCATCTGTGTCGTGTCCTGGCGACTTATGATAGGCACAATACCTTGACTTGTCAAGCTTATCTTCAGAAGTTCGAACTGGCTTCGGATCAGGAATAATTCCTTTACCTTTCAATTCTTCGAAAATAGTGGTGCTCCAGTAGAATAGACGGCTTGATACCCCGTCCTCACAGTCTCAGCATATTGGTTTCAAGCAGCCCTTGACTCGGGAGTATTGAAATTCCCTCGAGAATAACCTCGGAATTGAGATCTTCTGGAATTTCCCGAAAAATTCTTTTTATTGTTCTTCTTCTCAGATTCTGATTTTTATCCTTTAGTAGAGAAGTCAAAGTTAGGGACCGACATGTATTCCTCAGCGATAATAAATTGCTGAGCTCGTACAAGAAACTCTTGAAAAGTACTCGGCTTATTCTGACATAAAGTCCACCAGAATACCGAGTTCGGTTTTAGACCAGTGATGGCCGTTACCAATAATGTTTCGGGATGACAAGGTTCCATGTTCTGAATTCGTTCATTAAAACGTGATACATAGTATTTAACACTCTTGTCATCTTTCTGGACGATATTAGTAATCGATTCTTTCAGAATTAAACAAACCTGAGCACCGATAAAATGGGACCGAAAATCAGTCCGCAATTGTTGCCACTTCCAAATCGAGTGAGGAGGTAACGTATAGTACCATTTTTGTGCTCGCGGCCCCAGCGTTAGCAAAAACATGCAACAACGTAGACCATCTGATGCACCATGCAAGTCCATCCATGATGTATACTGACCTAAGTGAGCATCCGGGTCATAAAGTTCCATCAAAGAGACCAATTTAAGGAATTTTGATTTTAGAGGGGAGAACTTCGGCAGTAAGCTCGGGAGCTAAAGGGGAATTAGCCTCTATGACCACGTTACCTGAGATGGAGTGATGTCGAGGCAAATCCTCTCGAGATCTCTGTCTCGCCTCCAATTCAGTAAGTCTCTTACGCAAAGCTTCAAATTCTTTCGAACCTTGATGAAAAATGCGATTCCTTTCAATTTGCTGACGTAAATCCTCTTGATTTGCAGGTCGTATCGATTCAGGTCTTGACGACACAAGAGCTTTGTGTGGTTGAGCAGAATGACTTTCGGCTATCCCTTCTTAATTCCTCGCCGCTACTGGATCTGGGACTTCGAGTGGCTGATTATCCGGAAACTGGGGTACCTCTTCCCCGTGAGGAGAACCATAGCAGCGGTTAGTGGAACTATGACGTGGCTGGGATGTAGCATGTGAGGCCATAGCACGCACAATCGGATTTTAAATATTTGGTTGTGGTACAGCCGGTGTTGGGAACGTAGATTGATCCTGAGGAGGAACCGATACTCCAGGGAGTGCGCGGGCCATGATGGATGAAAAACCCTTAATAAAATTTGGATTTTGAAATAAATTCGTATAATCCGGCATGGTATATGTTCGTGCGGCGCGTCCAGCAGATTGATTAGTGTTATGGCTCTGTGCAACATGCGAGGTCTGTTCTTGACCGGATTGCGACATTATGCAGACAGCTGGCAACGTTTTTTCGTGGTATGCAAGCAGATAACAGCTTCAAAGGTAAAGGTTAACCTCAAAAAACTTATGAGGCCCTTCCTCTTGCGCCAATCTATTGTTAAACGGGATTTAACAACGATGATTATGTCGTAATATAATTAGGAATTGTAGAAATTATTGAGCATAAAAGATGTCGGTAAAGATCATGAAAGACATCCGTGAATATGAAAGCATGTGTATCTTATTGAATTTCTTCTGAAGTCCAAAGTCCCGTTACAAATGAGTAAAATTGCTATTTATAGAGCGATTGACCCAAGGAATTAGGTAGGTGTGATTGCAGTTAATGTAAAGTAGCTTTTGGAAGGCAGTTGTCTGCCAGCTGGACAACAGTCATGATGATTGGATGACTCATCGCCGCCTCAAGACTTTGAAAGTCAACTTCTAAAGATCTCGGTTGAGAGGGTTTCCGTTATCTTACTATTTTCACGCATGACATGAGGTTGTCTACCTCAAACCAAGAAATCACCCCTCACATGCGATGGGTACAGAAAGTGGATGCGCTCTTAGAGACCCTTCTACCGTACCAAATTACGCTTTCACCAGGAGCAGGGAATGAATGGGAAGATCGAAAGGTTGGAAGAAGAAAGGAGAAGACCAAAGGAATATGACTCCATAGGGTAAGATTTTTGGCAGAAATGAGTGCCTCATTCTCTTCTTCTCTGATCATAGAGTATACCTCATAGACAATAGTGCCGATTCGTAAACATATTCACGAGATAGTAAATCCAGCTGAAAGGAACTAAACCTTGCCATCTCGGTTGACATAGAAGGATGGTCAGGTGGTGACTCTGATGCCAGAGAGAGATCTCAGTTTTCACTATTTTTGAGACCGAGGTGTTCACACTTGGTGTAGGATTATCGCCTTAATTTTTCTTTCCCTGATTACAAAAAGTTATGTCAACAGAAACCTGCAAAGAGGCCGGGAAGTGTTCCGGGCGATAAACCTCCGACATTCAAGTTAGTAGAATATCGAGGAAAGCTCAGTTTGTATATTAGGGTTTTGTAACATAAGAATTCAGATCCTTTACCATCATACCAGGTCTACCTCTTTATACGTAACTCCATAGCTTCCTCTGTACGCTTTCCTTCTCGTTCGTTAGATCATCTATCCCTTCTATGATCGCGACACTACACGTGTCCCTTACGGAGCAATTTGATATCTGTCACCCCTGGTTCTCGGCCCACTTATAGCTCCAAACAATGCGCATGACCGAGCTGTTATTGGGCCTAGCCCACACATTATCGGATTATGTCATATGCTCGACCAGTACACCTAGCCGAGCTGTTATTGGGCCGAACCCATACATGAACGAATTATTACATCTGCTCGGCCATACCACTAATACAAGATCAACCCATAAGCATTTGTCCTGCTCATAAATCGAGCCGATTAGTGTCGGTCTACTTAAATGTTCTCATGTGCTATATCATCTAGTCCCCCCATTATCAAACGAGCTATTACTCCATTATCGTAGATAGATTTGTTTGATAATTATTCCAAGAAGATCATAATCTTCTAATAGAGTTCCTCTTATAATGCGGCATCAGGTAGTGCCCGAACAGATTAATCAACTTCTTGGCCGGGCAGAGTGCTCAACGTCTTGGCCGAGCAGCTTGTATACTATATTTGACCGCGCACATTAATTAAATCCTACTTGAGCCCTCTGATTTTCCCTGTGACCGAGCAGATTAACACCATACCTGGCTGCGCAGCTCGTCTGTCATGTTGACCGAGCAACTCCATCAATCCCTGTCCGAGCAGTTAATTCAGCTCGCCGACCGAGCAGATCAATCAAATACATACCCGAGCACTTCGTATGCCATGTTGACCGAGCAGATTAACCCAATGCCTGTTGAGTCCGGCCCAATTACGGTGGGCTTGGACTAATAAGGGCCAAGGGCCCATTCTCTTTAATAAAAAGAATAAAAAAAAAATGCTTTTATATAACCTATGCAGGTTTTTGTGCGCAGCCAGAGAACAAAAACGAAAGGAACAGAAACAAGTTTATACACTCATCTTTTTCATTCCCGCAACTGCACTGCGCAGTCACAGGAAAACGCCGATTCCCGGAGTTTTCACCGTTGGATCGTCACCAAAGTTGGACAGCAGGTTCATAACTTCTTACTCTTCGTTTTGAACGGTGGAGATTGGATTTTGAGCACTTTTGGGCTGTCTGTTCGTAAGTGACGTGAAGGGAATATTTTGGGGTGTTTTGTTGAATTGTTTCTTGTGGTTTGCCAAGATCTTGTGTTGTGATCTTGAAGATTGTTGTTTGCCTCTAGTTTGATGAACTAGAGAGGATTTCAGTTGTACCTATTATCGGACTGAATAGTGGATGATTTAAGCGGCCTACGGGTCCCGTGGTTTTTACCCAATTTGGGGTTTTCCACGCTAAAAATCTCGTGTCATTTAATTGCTTGCTTGATCGTTGTTTGGTTGCTCTTGCTTGTGGTTATTGTTGTTGTTGATTGGACTTGGTGCTTTATTATTCGGTTAAAGTCATCTTTGTTTGGTGGCTTTAACCACAACAAAGTGGTATCAGAGAGCCAGGTTGGTTCGTGTACCTTGTCCAAATCATGGAGACTAACACAAGTCGGATGGTTACCTTGAATGGGTCCAATTACCATGTGTGGAAAGGGAAGATGGAAGATCTCTTGTATGTGAAGGATTATTATTTGCCCGTGTTTACCGATGAGAAGCCGTCGGATAAAACCGATAAAGAATGGGAGCTTTGTCACCGTCAGGTGTGTGGCTACATTAGGCAATGGGTAGATGATAATGTCCTCAACCACGTTAGTGAAGAAAAGCATGCACGGATCTTGTGGAATAAACTCGAAGAGTTGTATGCGCGGAAAACCGGGAACAACAAGTTGTTTTTGATCAAGCAGATGATGGCTTTAAAGTATCAGGATGGAAAGACTATGTCAGACCACTTGAACACATTCCAAGGAATCATTAATCAGTTGGCTGGAATGAATATCAAGTTTGACGATGAAATACAAGGGTTGTGGCTTCTTGGTACTTTACCGGACTCGTGGGAGACGTTCAGAACGTCTTTGTCTAACTCAGCCCCGAATGGAATTTGCTCCATGGATATGGTGAAGAGCAGTGTCCTGAACGAAGAGATGAGAAGAAAATCACATGGTTCTTCTTCACAGACGGATGTCTTATTCGTTGAAAGGCGGGGGAGAAGTAAAAGCAAGGGTCCGAATGATAGAAATCGAAGTAAAAGCAAGTCTGGAAGGTATGCAACCCTTGAGTGTCACCATTGTGGCAAAAAGGACACATCAAGAGGTATTGCAGAAAGTTCCTCAGGGAGAATCCGACTGGCAAAGGCAAAGAAAAGAAGGCTGGAGATGGTGAAGACGGTGAGAAGGTAGCGACGGCTACCGATGACTTTCTTATCATTTATGAAGGCGATGTCGTCAATGTCGCTTGCCAGGAGACTAGTTGGGTGATCGATAGCGGTGCTTCAATTCATGTCACATCGCGAAGGGATTTCTTCAGGTCCTACACTCCCGGTGACTTCGGAAGTGTTAGGATGGGAAATGATGGTATTGCTAAGGCAGTTGGCATGGGAGACGTGCACTTGGAGACTGAAAATGGCAACACCTTAGTTTTGAGAGGTGTGAAGCATGTTCCCAACATTCGCATGAATTTGATATCTACCGGCAAGCTCGATGATGAAGGGTTTTGTAACACCTTTCGAGACGGAAAGTGGAAACTCACCAAGGGATCCTTGATTGTGGCGAGAGGGCAAAAGTATTCTTCATTGTACGTGATGAACGTGAAGATTGTGGATCCTATGATCAATGCAGTGGATGATGAACGCACTGTGGAACTTTGGCACAACCGACTTAGCCACATGAGCGAGAAGGGTTTGACAGTGTTGGCCAAGAAGAATCTCCTCCCAGGTGTGAAAACAGGTTTTCTGAAGAAGTGTGCTCATTGCTTGGCGGGGAAGCAAACCAGAGTTGCCTTCAAGAGAGTTCCCCACCCACGCAAAACAGGTATTTTGGATATGGTCCACTCTGATGTATGTGGTCCAATGAAGACGAGAACACTTGGTGGTGCCTTGTACTTTGTGACTTTCATCGACGATCATTCAAGGAAGATTTGGGTGTATATGTTGAAGTCAAAAGATCAAGTTGTAGACGTCTTCAAGCAGTTTCATGCTCGTGTGGAACGAGAAACATGTGTGAAGCTTAAGTGCATCCGAACAGATAATGGAGGTGAATACTGCGGCCCGTTTGATGAGTATTGTAGGCAGCAGGGCATTCGACACCAAAAGACACCTCCAAAGACTCCTCAGTTGAATGGGTTAGCTGAGAGGACGAACCGGACACTAGTTGAGAGGGTGAGATGTTTGCTTTCGCAGTCACAGTTACCGAGGTCCTTTTGGGGTGAAGCCTTGAGTACAGTGGTGCATGTTTTGAATCTTACTCCTTGTGTTCCATTAAATTTTGAGGTTCCAGACAGGATGTGGTCAGGAAAGGAAGTTTCGTACGATCACTTGCGTGTTTTTGGATGCAAGGCCTTTGTTCATATTCCGAAGGATGAGAGGTCGAAGCTTGACATGAAAACAAGGCCATGTGTGTTCATCGGTTATGGCCTTGATGAGTTTGGATACAGGTTCTATGACCCAGTGCAGAAAAAGCCTGTAAGAAGTCGAGATGCGGTGTTCGTAGAAGACCAGAGTATAAAAGACATCGATAAAGCCGAGATGACAGAGAAGTACAACGATGATCTGGTTGATTTAGATCCAGTCCCTATACCTACTGTGTATCCTGATCAAGGGGGAGCGACGCCAGATATTGATGTTGGTCCTGCAAATGGTGATGTCCCCACAGTTGATGATGTTGAGCCAACTGATGAAGTTGAAGAAGGGGTTCAAGAACCACCAGAAGAACCTAATTTGAGGAGATCCAGTCGAGAGCGGCGTCCGTCTACTAGATACTCCTCAAATGAGTATGTGATGATCACCGATGCCGGAGAGCCAGAAACCTACCAAGAGGCGACCTCAGTCGATGAAAAGAAGCAGTGGTTGAAAGCCATGGAAGAAGAGATGGAGTCTCTTCACGAGAACCACACTTATGACTTGGTGAAGTTACCTAAAGGCAAGAAAGCGCTCAAAAACAGATGGGTCTATAGATTGAAGATCGAAAATGCTAGCTCGCAGCCACGATTCAAGGCACGATTGGTTGTGAAGGGGTACGGTCAGAAAAAGGGAATCGACTTTGAAGAGATATTCTCACCGGTGGTGAAGATGTCCTCGATTCGAGTTGCTCTTGGTTTAGCGGCGCGGTTGAACTTGGAGATCGAGCAACTTGATGTGAAAACTGCGTTTCTTCACGGCGACTTGGAAGAAGAAATTTATATGGAGCAGCCCGAGGGATTCCAAGTTCAAGGCAAAGAGCATCTTGTATGCAGATTGAAGAAGAGCTTGTATGGCCTTAAACAAGCTCCTAGGTTGTGGTACAAGAAATTCGACTCCTTCATGGTGAGTCACGGGTACAACCGAACATCGTCAGACCATTGTGTGTTCGTCAAGAGGTATTCCGATGATGATTTTATTATTCTCCTCTTGTACGTTGATGATATGTTGGTCATAGGCCATGATACTAGCAAGATTGCTCAGTTGAAGAGAGAGTTAAGCAAGTCTTTTGCGATGAAAGACTTGGGAGCGGCGAAAAAGATACTCGGTATGAAGATCTCTCGTGATAGAAAGAATGGGAGACTATGGTTGTCCCAGGAAGACTACATCGAGAAGGTACTTGAGAAGTTTAACATGAGCAAGGCAAGGGTGGTGAACTCTTCACTTGCAGGTCACTTCAAGCTCAATTCGGAGCAATGCCCTACAAGTGAAGAAGACAAGGCAAACATGAGTCGAGTTCCTTATGCGTCTGCAGTTGGCAGTTTAATGTATGCCATGGTGTGCACCAGACCCGATATTGCTCATGCTGTTGGAGTAGTCAGTCGTTTTCTCTCCAATCCGGGAAGAGAACATTGGGAAGCCGTCAAGTGGATATTGAGATATCTCAGAGGTACCTCAAGAGCATGTTTATGCTTCGGTGGTGGTGATCCTATGCTAGTTGGATATACCGATTCAGATATGGCAGGTGATGTTGATTCCAGAAAGTCCATTTCAGGATTTCTGATGACTTTTGCAGGGGGAGCCGTGTCGTGGCAGTCTAAGCTGCAAAAGTGTGTTGCATTGTCTACCACAGAAGCCGAGTACATTGCGATTACAGAAGGTTGCAAAGAGGCTTTGTGGATGAGGAGATTCCTAGAGGAACTGGGCTTACACCAAGAGAAGTATGTTGTGTTTAGTGATAGCCAAAACGCTATCCACCTCTCCAAGAACTCGTCATTTCATTCGAGGTCCAAGCACATTGAAGTGAGGTATCATTGGATTCGAAACGTTCTCGAATCAAAACAATTGCACTTAGCGAAAGTGCACACGAGTGAGAATGGTGCAGACATGATGACGAAGACTTTGCCGAAAGAGAAGCTTGAAGTATGTCGGCGAAGAGCGGGCTTGTTGGAGCCCACCACTTGATCCGGAGGGGGAGTTTGTTGAGTCCGGCCCAATTACGGTGGGCTTGGACTAATAAGGGCCAAGGGCCCATTCTCTTTAATAAAAAGAATAAAAAAAAAATGCTTTTATATAACCTATGCAGGTTTTTGTGCGCAGCCAGAGAACAAAAACGAAAGGAACAGAAACAAGTTTATACACTCATCTTTTTCATTCCCGCAACTGCACTGCGCAGTCACAGGAAAACGCCGATTCCCGGAGTTTTCACCGTTGGATCGTCACCAAATTTGGAAAGCAGGTTCATAACTTCTTACTCTTCGTTTTGAACGGTGGAGATTGGATTTTGAGCACGTTTGGGCTGTCTGTTCGTAAGTGACGTGAAGGGAATATTTTGGGGTGTTTTGTTGAATTGTTTCTTGTGGTTTGCCAAGATCTTGTGTTGTGATCTTGAAGATTGTTGTTTGCCTCTAGTTTGATGAACTAGAGAGGATTTCAGTTGTACCCATTATCGGACTGAATAGTGGATGATTTAAGCGGCCTACGGGTCCCGTGGTTTTTACCCAATTTGGGGTTTTCCACGCTAAAAATCTCGTGTCATTTAATTGTTTGCTTGATCGTTGTTTGGTTGCTCTTGCTTGTGGTTATTGTTGTTGTTGATTGGACTTGGTGCTTTATTATTCGGTTAAAGTCATCTTTGTTTGGTGGCTTTAACCACAACAATGCCTAGTCGAGCAACTCGCTTGCCATGTTGACCGAGCAGCACAATCAAATTCCCGGCCGAGCACCTCGCTTTCCATATTGACCGAGCAACACAATAAATCCTTGTCCGAGAAGATAATTTTGCTAGCCAACCGAGCCATCCGAAAAGACACCTTAAAAATCGTGAAAAGTCACCTCATTGTCATCATGCTTGGGCCACGTGCCTAGCACTCCTAGTTGTCTTTTCAACTACTTGAGTGCACCTATTGAAGTGATTGTCCACTAGCTATAAATAGGTGTCTCCTTCCACAATACCCTTCACTCTCTTCTTCGTCTTGCCTTTCCCAAATTTATTACACTAACAGAAAAAACCAAGGATCACCCTCCATTTCTTCGTCTTGTCTTTGCAAGTTGCTTACTTCGGGTCTCGCCGGTCTCCTTCACGAAGCCATTGAGGGCGAAGTGCCTTCATCTGTCGAGTTTCAAAAGGTGAAAAAGGCCTATGACGCCGAGGCTACTAAAGCCAAGGCGCTATAGACAGAGCTCAAAGTGGCCAAGTTGAAAATGGCACGCCAAGCCGGGAATATCAAATCCCTAGAGCTCGATGTTGCTCGCCATCAACAATAGGTCGTTGCACTCTGTACCGAGCTCAAAATAGTCGTGTAAGAGGCGGTGACTAAAGAAGCTGCAGCTCGATATGAGCCCCGCGAGAGCTTCCTCTCCTCCCCCTATGGAGCTCGGTTTCTAGAGGTGTATCGGTAAGAGCTTCTCACCCTTTACCATGATTGTATGTCATTCCTCGCACAGCTCCACCCGATTGCAATACAATATCTATTCATCAGCGCTACCCGAGCTCTCGAGCAAGCCCGGGCTACAGGGAATTTAGATGGCTACAATGAGGCCGAGCTGATCCTGCACCTTCTTAATCCAGAGGGCTGGTCCGGGAACCCCGACCTCCCACTTGAGCACCCATGGTGGGAGCCGGCTCTCGAGATCACTGTGTAGATACTTGAAGAAGTGAAAAAAAGCTGCTAATGCTGGAAACGAGGAAGAGGGAGGGGGCGACATGGACGCGACAGATACCAATGTCGAGCGTGATATGAAGATGCCCTGCCCAACCAAGACCCCCCAATGTAGTTGATATATTTTTAATATTTTGTTGCGACGATCATCCGCGTTTTGTTATGCTAGTATGATATGCTCTGAAAACATTACTTCTGTGTGTTGTGCGGCCAACATATTTGTTTTGGGACATGCCGTGTTAATGTGATTACAGTGCTGCTATTCTACCTTCTTACATTTCAAGCATGTGTGCACATGTCGTCATTATCTACACGTGACCCGTCTTTGCGAAACTCAATGTATATCGTGTGTAGTAAAACAATACAACTTGGAGCCCAATATTATTAAGTGCGAATATCAGAGCTAATTGATTTCTAATGAGCTCGGCCTCGAACACACAATATGCTCGACTCCCGTACAAGCAACAACTCCAATGCCCATCTGCTCGGTCCTTGTCCGAGCAAAAAGCACGGGCCTCAACCTGCTCGGCTTCATCCGAGCAACAAGCCCAACGCCCATCTGCTCGGCCCTTGCCCGAGCAAAAGAAAGAACGAGCCTTAACCTGCTCGGCTTTGTCCGAGCAAAAAGAACACAAGCCTTACTTTGCTTAGCGTTTGTCAAGCAACAACTGCAACATTGTCTGCACGGTTTTAACAGCACCCAAGCTCACAAGAGCCCAACCTTAAGCCATCACATTATTTTTCACAGCACCCAAACTCACCCGAGCTCGGTCTTAAGCCATCACATCCTTTGAACAGCGCCCGAGATCCCACGAGCTCGACCTTAAGCTGTCACCTCACTTGAATAGCGCCCGAGCTCCCAAGAGCTCGGCCTTAAGCCATCACATCATTGAACAGCGCCGGAGCTCCCAAGAGCTCGGCCTTAAGCCGTCATAACCATTGAACAGCGCATCACAGCAAGTCGTTTACACTTAAAGAAAAATGTACTCAAACATGTCCCATAACGTAAACATTCATTATTCACAATTAACTCATGCAAAATCCAGAAAACAAATCCTTCAAAGACAAATCATCATTTATGCAACCAACCAAACATCAAAAGACTTAGCAATAACTTATAATTGTCATTACTCAGCAATCCCGAATCATCAATGTGTCCCAGCACTACTTAATTAAACAACTTAGCATGTATCGAGCACTGATCAAAAGTAAGTAACTTAGCAACAATACATCTTAAGATTGACAACATTCCAAGGCCGGGGAAAGACCTTTCTCTCCGGATCCTTTAGTGCATAAGCTCCTCCAGCAAACACTTTCTGAATTATGTAAGGCCCTTTCCAACTCCAATTTTCCAACGTGCTTCAGCACATCGGCTCTTCTCCAGACAAGATCACCAACCTAGAATTGCCTTTTCCTCACCCTTTTAGCATAGGTGAGGCACATCTTCTGTTTGTATTGCATAGTCTTCAACCAAGCCCAATCTCGTGCCTCATCAACCAGCTCAAGTGTCTCCTTGATCAACTCCTCATTTTGATTTGACTCAAAAGTGGTTGTCCTATGAGAGCCTAGGCCAACTTCCACCGGGATCACGACTTCCATTCTATAGACCAGACTCAAAGGTGTTTCTCCTGTCGTTGATCTTGGCGTGGTTTAGTATGCCCAAAGCACTGTGTCGAGCTTATCCACCCATGCACCAGAATCTTTGCCAAGTTTAGTCTGCAACCTCCTCAATCTGGTCCTGTTGGCAACCTCTGCCTGTCCATTTGCTTGTGGATGTGCTACAGATGCAAAATGCTGCTTAATGCCCATTTCCTCACACCAAGCCATTATCTTCTTTCCCCAGAATTGCGGGTCATTATAAAAAACTTGGACCCGTGGGATGCCATACTTGCAACAGGCGTTAGTAAATAAGAATTTGATGACCTTTTCCTCAGTTATTTTGGCCATGGCCTCAGCTTCCACCCATTTGCTGAAGTAGTCCACCAAAACCAACAGGAACTTCCTCTTCCCAGAGCCTTATAGGAAAGGCCCTACTATATCCATCCCCCATTGAGCAAACGGCAAGGGTGAACTCATCAGCGTTAACTCTGTTGGGATCAATGAAGATCTCGTTATGCACAAATCACGAATTCGATAGCAAAACGTAAACCTATGCGCAGCAGATCTAAAGGTTTGCGTAGAGAACTTACGGCTTCAAATTTATGGCGATCTGGCTAATCTTCTGGATGGCCGTACACAGCACATCAATGAATTGTTGACTGCAAATTGCGTCCTAGGATTGCACGAACAACATCGGATCGAAAAATGGATCAAACGAGTGCAAAACAGATAAAGACAAGTTGCAGTCCTGGGACCTTGCGGCGGCGCGTGCGGGCACATGGGTGGTCAGACGACTGCGATCTCGAAGGTATTGGTAAGCTCTCATCAAGACGGTCGTTTGGGTATGCTGCACGTCTTGATCAGACCTCCGGTTAGTTCTCTACGACCAAATATATTTCGTCTCACTTTACCCAAAGGTCTTCTACTGTATATCTCACACCTCTTAATCTTGTACCGGGAAACAACAAGAAGAAGATAAAGCTCGAATGGGAACTGAGAGAGAGAAAAGAGGCGTGGGGCGTGATTTCCAAGATGTGGAATTCTCTTCTCTTCCCATGAGCTTAATGATGTATATATAGAGCTACAGTAGGGATCCTTAGGAGATTAGAATTAGGGCTCCTTAATTAATTAAAATACTTGTGGACCAAGCCACTTATTTTAATTAATTAAATAATATTAAATGGGCTACCAACATAATATTATTGCACTCCCTTTTCCTAGCCCAATTTACAATTGAGACTCCAATAATAATTACTCGATTTATCTCCCCAGGTTTAAGATGTAATGTCCATTAATTAATTCGATTACTGACAACCAAGAATTAATTAATTTATTATTATTTCACCGAAGCTAGCGCTCGTTCATCACATTATTACTATGCCGGAATTTAATCCACCTGCAGGGTTTAACATAATAATCTTTCATGAACTCACTCCAGGGACATCATCAAACTAACGCACATGGTGACCGTAAATATCCTAACAGCACATCCTACATGTAGCAATATTATCCAAGACAGCGGGTCTATTGGCCCAGTTCACTAAGCCTCACCCATGTGAATCAAAGTAATAAATACTACACATATATGTCTATTTAATATCTTACGGGTTAAGAGTACGCAATAATTAACCGAGGCCTAGTTCATTTACGATGATCAGTATAAAACGAACTGCTCCTCTCTGGGATCCTATTCAATACATAAAAGACAAACTATACAGTTGACACTACAACCGTTCGCGATGGGGTGTTCATGTCTACTTAGGTTGTGAACCACTTAATATTGTTTCGCGAGTAACTGATAGCATGATCTTCGGTTCGCCCAATGACGACCCACACTATCTAATGCAAAACAACAGAACATAGAACTTGTTTAATCTAACATGTTTCTCCCACTGCAACAGCTACCACTTTCGTAGCATCTCCCATGTAGACGGTGATCTCTCCCTCCCTAAGACGCCTGGTTTCCTGGAACCCCTGCAACGAATTGCAGACATGATCAGTGTCTCCAGTATCTACACGCCAAGTTCTGGTAGATACAACCGCTAAACATGTTTCTACGACATTAACGAGAGAGTTGCCTTTCTTGAGGAGAGGGCAGTCGACCTTCCAGTGTCCTGACTTGTTGCACTTGTGGTATCTACCTTTCGACTTCTTTGCCACAGACTGAGGGGGCATCCTGCACTTTTGCCTTTCCTGCAGACTTCTTTCTCTACCTGCCCTTGTGAGGCCTGGAAGGTCCAGCCTGCTCGGCAACCAGTGCGTGAGGCGCCTGAGTGAATAAGGCCTCCTCCGACTAAAGCTCTACTAACAGTTATGGAAGAGCCATATGCATCTTGTGCATGTTTTAGTTCAACTGGAACTGATCAAAGCTCTTCGGTAGAGATTGGAGCATGATATCAACCTGGGTTTCCCCATCGATAAAACCTCCCATAGCCTCAAGCTCATTGAGTAGCGCCATAACCTTGAGAACATGCTCCATTACGGGTGTGCCCTCTGCCATGCGCGTAGTCATCAGAGCATTTATGGCCACTTGCCTAGCAGATCTAGACTGGTGTCCGAACAGATTCCTGAGATTGAGAAGTATATATGCCGCAGTGTTAATAGACTGATGCTGATGTTGAAGAACATTTGACATAGATGCTAGAATGTAACACTTCGCCATCTCATCAGCCTTTTTCCACCGTACATACTCCTATTTCTCCTGCTCAGGAGCATCAACCGCGAGCTCTGCCGGGTAAGCCTCAGTAATCGCAAACTTATAACCCTCAGCAGTCAACACAATGTCTAAGTTCTTCTTCCAATCAATGTAATTAGGACCAGTAAGTTGATTTTCTTTTAGAATGACAGATAACGGATTGAACGACATGACGAATATCTGAGAAACATGAAAATAATTTTACAGATTAAACACATTTG